ACAAGTCGGAGTAGGTTACAAGCACTCTTCCACCCAACACCTAAGCCTAATATACGAACTCCCCAACAACAATAAAAAGGCTTTTTTTTCTTCTTTTTAATTAGAAAAGAATTAATGGATACTTAAGAATATCGACGAAAGCAGTTTACTTTCTTTTAATACACTTACTATACCAAAACGGCTTAAGAAAGACCTGTAAGCATAATAAGTCTGTAAATATAATTAATCTTTGTTTCTTCTGTAAAAAAAACTTTGTTATTTGTTTATATAAATGGCATATTGAAAAGAAAAATGAAGAGTGAAATAGGGGTTGATCAAACATGTAGCATGCGACTCTCTCTCTCCCCTTTTTATTTATCTATTTATTCATCCCGTTGACTTTTCCCCAAAATTACCCTTCTACTACTCCAAACAAAAGTCATGATTTTTTACTAGCTAGGAATCTTTCAGTTTCAATACAAAGCATATTTATGGCTAAACATACGTAGATTATTGGTTTACAAAAAAAAAAAAAACGTAGATTTCTATGTAACTGAAATATGTTCGTACGTTGATAAAAATATTTTGAAAACTGCATTACAAAGAAAACGGTGGGGTTTGGTTTGTAGCAATGCTTACGAAACTGATGAGGTTTCTTGTAACGACGGACAACACTCTCACTCAAATTGAGTAATTACCAAATTTTAATGTCTTCTTATACTACATGTGGCAAAATACATCAAATCGTATATTGACACGTATGCTGACTTTCCCGCCTCCTAAACTTAGTCATGTCTTTGACTCGTTTTCACACGCTCTTGAGGTTGACTATCTTTGTATTTTTTTTTGTTTCTTCCACGCTCTTTTAATTGTTGGGTGAATTTTTGGAATTATCTTTCATTTGACAACTCTAATTAAAAATGTTACTAACAAACAAAAAGTACTCTTGCCAACCATGCATGTATAGGCATTTAAGTTATTTGATTATGCTAATACGTGTACACCACATTGTGTATATTCGTAAAAAGCTATTGTTGTTCAGTTAGATCGATATTATTTATTTTCACTAAGCTCAACTAAAATCAAGTTTTTCTTTTGTTAAGAAAGGTTAATTATATCCATAAAAAGCATAAGTATATGATTCAAAAACATAGACAACAGCAATGAGCAATTCCCAAGCAAGGCAATACGGTTATTATTAGGAATTTTTGTCAAAAATGCCATTTATTGAAAAAAATGTTCGAAAAATGCCATTTATCTGAAAAACCTTCAAAAAATGCCACAAATCACTGTTCAGAGGAGGCGAGATGACTGTTATACCCCTAGTATCGATTTATGGTATAATCAGTGTTTATTGTCCACCACTATCTAATTTTTGTCCACAACTATCAAGCACTGTCTTTGTTCATGTTTTCGTCCACAATCACCGGCTCGTTTTCGTCT